AAAAATCAGTTTTGAACTGTGTTTGCAGCTGTTGGACTACAATCCTGCAGCCTTGCACAACCCCAACACTGAGAGAGAAAACTATCAAACAACGAAAAAGGCTCATGTCAAATTGTTTTTTTTTATTTTCTTTTTCAATGACTTAATACATTTTTAAGTTAACTCAACTATATGACCTTGGTAGCCTGACTTATGAATTTCCCTGTTATACAAACATGTCTTTCTGCATGTGTTTGCACGACTAGTCCCACACCATGCACTTTCAGAAATCCAGCAGGAGGGGATGTGCCTACACCACTGGTTTCATGAACAATAGATTCAGGTAGCAACATCTGCGTGAAGTAATATACATGAAATACTGCTGACCTGATGATGTCCATGCGACTATCATTCTGGGTGCCAAGGAGGCAGAGGTGGTTGTCATTGCGATGGTGGACACGGTAGTCTGCAGGTCTCCAAAGAGGCCTGTTCACCAGAGTCCATCACCTGTTATCATGAAAACACAAATTAGCTTTTCCTGAGCAGATGTTTAAAATACTTGAGCAGTAAAAGAGACCAGAGTCATATACAAATATTACAATATACAGGAAACAAGCACAGATTATTCTATTTTAGCTTCATTGTTGTTTTCAAACTATAAGAGACACTAATGATCTCCTACTGTTGCTTTAAAGTGATCTATTCCTACAGACACTATCTAACACATCATTCTGTAATGAGGAAAGCCATGTAGTATATTTTAATGTGTTTATATGTATTATATTTTTTCACAGCTGAAACTAGTCAAAACAAGTCTTCCCGGGTCAGGGTTGCGGGGGAATGGAGCCAAACCCAGCTATCACTGGGCGAGAGGCGGGGTACACAATGGACTTTTAGCAGTCAATTACAGGGCTGACATATAGAGTCAGACAACCAGCCACTCTCACATTCACACCTAGTCAATTTATAATTTTTTGGACTGTGGGAGGAAGCCATAGTATCCGGAGAAAACCCACGCATGCATGGAAAGACCACACAGAGAGGCTCCTGTCCTATATGATATGAAACCTCCTTGATGTGGGGCAACAGCGTAACTATTTGGAGTTCTATTATTGGCGGTTTACCTGGCGCCTTGACAACGTCTCTCTGCGTTTGGCAGGCATCTCATAGACGACATGTTTCCAAAGTTTGATGACAGCTCATTGCTCTTAGCCCCCTCCACTTGATGATGGATAAAACCTGCCAAAGGACAATCACATTAATATAATTTCCTCGTAATGTTGGTCCATTGCTCTTCAGTTTCACCTTCAGATCACACTCTTTCCTCGTCTCTCTGTATACCTTGATTGTATGTTTAAGTGCTTCCACTTCTTGATAGTTCATGACATTCTTTAAGTCTGCACACTCGATCATGATCACCTGGACAAACACAAACAACAAAAAAGAGAGAGAGATGATTCAAAAGAATATTCCAGAGGTGTTGTGAACACTTTTCTCAGATCTCTCCCCAATCTTACCTTGATCTCCCAGTGACGAGCATAGAGTGGAGGCGTGTCTCTATCTGGAAGATGCTCCACCCTCTTTTGGCAACAAATTCTGGAGTCAAAATGATGATCAAACGTCTGCTCTGCTCCACGCAGCGAGCCAAGTCCTCAATGTAGGCTGGGAGAGACGGACATAAAGACAAGGTCAGAGCGATAAGGAAAAGCTCAAAAGAAGCCGGTTAGCCCATTTTGGAACTGTTTCATACAAAGACTGAGGCTGAGAGACAGAAGAGGATGGTGACGGATGAAGCTGAAACACCAAAATTGAAAACAATCTCTTATAAGTTATTTGAAGAACAACTCAGGCATGTTTATTGTACAATGAAGGGAGAATTGATCACAGCCATCCCTGATTGCTTTGCTAATGACAGTCAACTCTATTTCAAAACTGACCCTATCCCTCTACAACACCCAATCAATCTTTATCAGTGTAGTGCCAATTCATAACCAAAGTTATCTAAAAACACAAAGTCTAGACCATTCTCTATGTAATGCCATCTTGATCCACATTAAGCACCTGCCTGAAGGAGATAAAAGGTGTGGATGAATCACAACATCCTACAAATAAACAGCTCTAAAAGCGAAGGTATTTAGTTGGCATTCCCCACAGGTCAAATCATCCTGCATGACCCTTATATCCTTTTTTTGGCCAGGACATTCTACTTTCATCATTGGTCAACAAACCCAGGGGGGAGAATTGACCTTCTCTTGACCTTTGCGGCCCCTCATTAAACATTTGCGTAAGAGGTAAAACTATGCTCATGTTTATTTTTATTTTGTAGCACTTCAAACTGTGTTTCATACGAAGGAGCATTAGGGCAACATTAAGGGGACTTGTGTCGTAAATTTACGAGATTAAAGTCGTACATTTACGAGATCAAAGTTGTTATTTTAGTCTATAGTTTTATCAGTAGAGCAGCGGCCTCCTGTACGGAAATGAGGAACGTAAGGCATCTTGTAAAGTTATACGTTAGTAAAGGGTTTCACAAATAAGGAAATACTTCCTTGTGTATTCAGTAACACTGATTGACTGAGAATAAACTCTCTGAGGAATGAACTACTTTAAAGGTCTGTAAATATCCCATTAGCTGTGTTAGGGCTTTACTTCTGCAGATATGAAACTATACACTATTTTGGCACATCAGCATCACATTGTCATTAAGTATCAGGACCCTGAAAAGATACAAAACTGGGGCTTTTCTAAAGAGAGAACAACACTGACTTGAATAAATTTGTCTCTTTTGTGGCAGAGGAAATTGCTTTCATCATTTATGTGGAGGCAAATGGCTGCTCTTCTGATACACTGCAGGAAAAAGGGAAAGGTCCACACATTGTTCTGTTTCTATCCAAAGTATCTTCTTCAGGCCAATGTGGCAGGATACAAGCAGTCTTTTCTTAAGTGTTGATCAGACAGAACAGGGACAATGAATACAACAGCCACAAGAGGGTGACATATACCCCAGGAAGCAGAAAAACAGGCAAAATATACAATTGTAAAAAATATATATAGGCTATATATTTTAGTTAGTTAGTATTAGGTGCTCATTGGGAGCTGAACAGTGTGCAGACCTTTCCCTTTTGTCTGCAGTACATAGTGTCTTTTTTGTCCTGTACCTGTATGCAATTTTCTTGGATGTGCGCAAACTGGTCTTTTTGCTCTTCTGATACAACCTTTCGAAATAGGCTTATAATTTTAACCATAGTCTAATGTAAATCAATTAATGAATTTAATATAAATTAGCAACTTTTTTCTCATAAATGTACGACATAAATCCCAATGTGGCCCTAAAACTCTGTTGTAGTTTGTAATCAAAGTGTGTGTAATCAAAATGAGTTATCATAATAATCCATCCATTATCTATACCGCTTTTCCCGTTTGGGGTCGCGGGGGTCTGGAATCGATCCCAGCTGTCATTGGGCGAGAGGGGGGGTTACACCGCGGACTGTTTGCCAGTCAGTTACAGGACAGTGATATAGAGACAGACAACCAGTCACACTCACATTCACAACTACAGGCAATTTCAAGTCACCAATTAACCTAACGAGCATGTCTTTGGACTGTGGGAGGAAGCCAGAGTACCTGGAGAACACACGCACATGCACTGGGAGAACAGTCTGGCTCCTGTCTGAAGGGGATTCAAACCAGGAACCTTATTGCTGGGAAGCAACAGCTCTGCACCTCACAGCCTTTCAGCCGTATTATATTAATAATTATTATGATTAAAATAAGATGGAAATATGAGACTTACAGAAAATTTTAACATGTTGATGGCAGGAGAATTAGCTACCAAGGGAACAGGGACATTCCAACATTAGTATGTGTGGGACGCCTCCCTCTGTAGTGTCTGCTTTCTATTTCCTGTCAGCATCCTTCACCTCTCTTTGTTCATAAATGACTAATTTGACTGACAGGAGTATAAAGCAGAGTGGCAGAAACGCTTGTGCAAGAGTTTTAGCTGTGGGACACACAAGTCTGCTCTTACATTGGCCCCAGCATTGTGCTGATACGCCTCAATCAGCAGCTTTCCCCTCTAACTTAAAGAGGAAAAACAGTCTGCTTCAGGGGGTTAAATGTGCAGCTGATGATATGTGAAAAGGGATCAAATGTATGATAGAGCCACAGTATGTCAAGGATATATCATGAAGAGCCAAAATCTGTTTAAAATGCTTTTTGTTTTAATATGGAGCTATAATGTTGGTATTAATAAAAAAAAAAAATCAGAAAATAAGGTGACACCTGCGAGCTACTTCAGGCAGTCAACTTCAGGAGCTGCACTGATTTCACACTTGACACGCATTCCTCAACAATCACCTGACATAAGACACCAGAAATTCTGTTGCAAAGGTTCAACAATTCATAACATTACAAAGCTGCTCCTTTTTCAACTCACTCTTAAATAAGGGTATTCTATGTAATCGTTCCCCCCCAGGCTTTGCAGATTAAATCTGCTTTATAAAAAGGTTCCTCGTCTAAAGCACAGCTGAAGTTTTTCACAAATCAACCAGAAGGAATCAACATTTACTTTCTAAAAAGCACAACCCTTATGTTGTCAGAGATGGGACATTAAACAGGAAATTAATCTCATTCTCAAACAACAAACAGACTCTGTCCTCCTCTGGAGCGACGTTAAACCTACGGCTTTCTAAAGCTAGAGGTAATGTTCCTGAACGTAACTGTGCATAGAGGGATCTATGTCTTTTGGTTAAATTATACATAACATAGGCCTCTGCACTGTTACGATCCTCGATGAGACATTAAGTTTGTAGTTTTGGTTTACACTAATATCAGCAGACTATTTCTCTCTGTACATAAGAAGCATGTTCCTCTTAGGCGTACGCGTAGATAACATGTTGCGTCATGAACGTAAATGTTCGCATAATGTCGATGTGCAACGCTTGTTACTGGAGGATTCCTCTAGAGGGAGCACCACATAAACCAGATGTAAGACACCGAAGTAGAGATGATCCGTCACCAGCCATTTATGCAAGCATGTTTGTTGCTATGCAACGGTGATGAAACATCATAGAGCGGGTAGTTGCTGACTCGATCTGTTCACTTTTCTTCTAAACTTTACACTATTGTTGTAGTGGCTCTCTGGTGTCTCCAATGTTGTCATTTCAGTTCTCATCACCATCACAGCTCTACACTGCTCCTAGTGGTTGTATGCATACTGCATCTCTTGGATGTGTAGCGTTAATTTCTAAGGACGTGCACAACCCATGCTCCAAACCACCGAAAGGCTGATGTCATGCATTAGTAATCGTAGATAAAAGCAAGTTTACTCACTTCAATCATTAGCCCAGGGAAACAAGGAAAAATATCCCAAATAAAGATGTTTTTAGTGAGTCTTCATAAGTCTATTCCAAAGCTGAATTTCACTTTTATGTCAGATGTTTGGAGGCTCAAGTCCCATATCTCCATTCACAGCCAGGATTGATGTAACTGTATGGACTCCGAGGAAGGACCTATCATGTACAAAACTGCAACTTGGATGATCTCCCAAACACCAGATAATAATCAGGATTAATCATAATCCTACACCAGGCACACACCAGAATAATTAAATTGGGTATGAAATCCCAGATCGCCACAGCGTTTAACTTCACAGATCCCAGAGCTGACTGAGTCAAAACACTGACAGCTTCTCTTAACGTCACGTTAGTCTAATGTCAAGCCCAGCTATTACAGATTTATGTATTGATTTATTGATCTATTTATGCATTTGTGGGTCAGAGTCCACATTGTTGGATCTGTGTATGCATGTGTTTGTGGATCTATTTACAAATTTGTAGATGTAATTACTGTACTGAACGACCAATCCAATTATCTGTGGATAAGACTCACAAGCACGACAATACTCTCAGTCTTCAAGGTTAAGAAAAAGGTCTTAACTTGCAAAAAATATAGACAAGCAAGATCGGCAGACAAAATCCAAAGGAGCAGGCAGAATCAAAATCAAAAAAGGGAACAAACACACTGGACCACTTGACTCAAAGGACAAAGTCAAACTGGCACAGAAGGGAAGGAAGACAGATTCAATACTAAAGGTGATTGGGAGATAATGAGATGCAGCTGGAGACAATCAGGGCAGGGTGACAATCACACAGGCTGTAAAAGACATGAGGGCAGGAAGTGAAGGATCTGAAATGAGACAAGAGGTAAGAAACACAAAAATAAAACAGGAAAAAATGAAAAAATGAACATAACTTAAGATGTAGAGCTGGACAGGACAAATACGCACTTGCACAGAGTTTTGCATCAACAATAGCTCCATACTGTTGCTTCATTCCAATGCCAACTGTAAAACTTTCTTCCCAAACTATTCCATTTCCATTTTTTTTTGAAGATTCAAGTTTCTTTTTGTGCAAGCATCACTCATGCTGCTCATTATTTTTCAAATTTGCAGTTACCAAAAAATGCCTAAAAACTGTGTTTCTGGAAATACTCTCTTTCTCTGATTCCCCCCCCCCATCATTTTTTAACTTGCAGACTTAATAAATGACAGAGACTCTCCAGCAACACATTGCAATTTCATGCTCAATTTGAGGGGAGCAAATAGTACAGAACATCCCAGACGCCACATGCTTTCTTCCCATTCTCCAGGTTGCTTTTTCAGTGTTTCTCTCTTCACCTTTTCTTTGTTCTACTTACAATTCCCTCTTGCCCTTCACTTCCTCTTCCCGCCATCCATTTTTTTTGAGGATTATGTAAATGAATGAATGACATGATAATGGAATAACACAAACCAATGACCCAGTCTGCACGTCTTTCTCTACCCATTGTTTATTTGTCTCTGTCTGGATAATGTCGGAGGGCTAATGGAGTGGATAATTGAATGGTGTATTTTGGGTCACATCACTATGGTTTCTCTGTTGAGCATTGAAAAGTCATCACTGTGTCTCTGTGATTCTCTTGTTCATAGTGTTCTTTCACACGATGTAACCTTTAGTTTATATGCAGATTTGACGGAGTATGTGTGAAGTTATGCACAGTGGACATTTGTTCTGTGGATGTTTTTAGGGCACGGAAAGTAGACCTCATTTCTGGAGGAAATATGACTTTGTCATCTGCTTCAGGATGCACTGATGTCTGTGTTTGTCTTGTGCATGTGTTGGGAAGAGGCATATATTTTTCTGTCTAAGGGCAGACTGTGTAGGCCAACAATCCATATTTAACCATATTTAAATATATTTAATAATGATTTTCTTTTTTTAGAAAATGTTAACTGATTCAAAGAAGAAACATTATTTTTCTTTCCTGCCTCACTGAGGCGTATTTCTGCAGCTACATTCTGTAACAGGATGTTTTTCAAATGTGAAATTAGTATGGTATTAACTGGGTGAAATGGCTCAGTATTTTATCCTGTGCATTATTACAACAGTGGAATCTACCAGGTGCCTTAGAAAGAACTTTCGCTTATCAATTGTACCACAGACCTCATTCATTTTCCATTTTAAAGGAGTTTAGAAAGTTTCATATCAAAAGTGCACAAATGGTCAAAACAAAATACAAAACAATGTCTCAAAATCAATCTCTACAGATTGAATTAAATCAAAGAAAGATATCGACCGATATATCAGATCCCCCCAAATATCAATATTGGTATCGGCCCCCAATAAATCCCATATTGGTCAGGCCATGCATCTTATACACTTGTTTTCTAAAACGTTAAAGTGTTTTGCTTTTGTCATTTTGTTTTATAAAAAAATGTTTTCCAAAATGTAAATTTGTCTCCAGCTTTGTAAAAGTGTTTCACACTTTCTAATTTTGTTTTGCACTTCCCGGCCAATGTACCTCTACAAGCTTTATCTGCATGCTGTTTGGTGCTTTATCAGACTTTCTACAATAAAGACATCCTAACCCTCTTTATACAAACCCTAATTTTACCAGTGTATTGGTTTGTATACACACATATACATGCACATGTAATGCATGTGGGAGAATGTGTCAGCGATCGATAACTGTTTGTGAAGTGTTTTATGAAACATATGGCCTGTATTGGGTACCGATCTAAATGTTTCACTCACCGTGCTACACCAGAGATGAGTCTAGCTATGATGCTTGGCTGTGATGCTGGCCCGGAGAAGGACATCATCTCTGCCTCTTTATTTTACTTACACACTTCAAAATGCACAGATAGCCACAACAGACTGTAAAACCCGTCCTGAAGTTTACAACAGTATTAAACAATTTCAGCGTTAACCTTTAATGAATTTACAACACGTTGTCAACTGTGTCATTAAACTTGAATCAGAATCCGGTCCGCCTTATTGACCAGGTATATAAACAGCATGTGCCCAGGTGACTGACTCCGGTGAACTAAGCTCTTTGTGTACAACACTAAATGAAATATAAACAATGAACTCATTTGCACACGCCTACATTAGACACTTAGTGCAGTGTTGTGGAGTGCAGAAAATGCTGAAATAAGATAATAAATGATTTAGATTAGATAAATATAAAAAAAAAAAACAATAACTGTGTAAGCAGCAGGATGTGTATTTAACGTCTTTGTGGGTGAACCAGGCAGGAGCAATAACAGCCATATTTACTCCTCCACTTGGTAAGAGATTGACACCTAACCCCAGAAATGATGACAAATGCCATGTTTGTGTGTGTGTGTGTGTGTGTGTGTTCACAGTTTAAACTTTAGCATGTCTTTACCTTTGTGGATGTTAAATGGAAATCCAGACATGAGCCCAGGTGGAAAAGACATCAACTAAGTGTGTATATGTTTCAGAAATCAATTGAGAATAGACACATGTGAGAAAGAGTCGTTGTGTAGTATTGTGTATCTTAGAATGTGATTGTGTAGTTTTTGCGTACATGGGATGTACACCTGAAAGCACACACACATTCTTGTGTGTTTCTGTGTGTTATGTAGATCAGCATCTGTTTCTTATTTACAGCGACAGAGTGATGAATTGGGGGCTGTAATGGTCCACAGAGAGATGGACAGATTGTACAGTGAGTGAGGAGGAAGGAGAGCTGTAGGTGACGTAGACACTCAGTCAGACATGCGTATACTTACTACTGCTGGGTATAAGATCTCTGTCTGGTAGAAACAGCTTGTATCCGTAATGCTTTTCCAAAACGTCTGGCAGAATCTCCAAAGCGAATGTTTCCTCGTCGCTGCTCGACCTGCCAGGAAAGGAAAGACAACGATGGTTCCAAATTTGAAATCAAATTCGAAACAAGACATTAGTGTGAACCCTGGTTCTACCTGCAAAAGATGGTAAATGTTGCTACATGTATACATGTTTACTGCCTGTTTATTTGTTTACAGCCTGCTTACATGTTTACAGAAACAGCTGAGGCTAAAACTAGGTTTTTATTTCAGAAACAAGTTGTGTTTTTCCTTTAATGAAGTAACTTTTACCATCTTATTCAGAGTGAGATTATAAAATGTAAATTTTGTCTTACTGAGTGTGGATTTCATACAGGGAGTTGGTTCGCTAAGCATACAGACTAGAATTTGGGGAAATATCTTGGCATAATTACTTTCTTTAGAAAGGGGGGTAAGGGGAGAAAAAGTGGTTGCCGATTTTCAAATTACAAGTCAGCATATTTGACTTCTTTCACAAATAGCACTGTGCTCCTTTCCAACTGGAGGCGAGGAGAAAGAACATAATTGGGAAATACAAATAAAACGTAACTAAAATAGAAATGTACACATGCTCTGGGAAAAAAAAGAAACCACAGCAAAGACGTGTTTTTCTCCGGTTTAAAGGTTCTACTATTAAAAGTTCGTGCTTGATTAAAGTGTTTCCCCAAACTGTCAACGTGGCAATGGAAGCTGTATTAAATCTACTTTGAAAACAAACAAGCTTTCTTTTCTATTTCTTCTCTAATACACTGGATCGAGGTTATTATCGAGTCCTTCTCACGCTGCTCACAGTGACGATGGAGCATTTGAGAATCTGTGTTGTTAGCTGAATAAGAAAACCATGTTTGATACGCCTATGTGTGTTCATGAGTAACTCACCTGCCCAAAGAGTCCAGGTCCACTTTAGTGTAGGACAGATAAGCATCATACTCCTTATTATCTGTGAAGAAAGACAAGTTGTGTAGTGAGTAGGATCAAAAATACACAGGCCAGGGGTGAAATTTAAAAACATTGTGTAGGCACCAAAAGCACATTTAAGTGTTACTTTACGTTACTATGCTGTTTTGTTGTTCATCCCTCTCTGTAACTTGGTGAGTGCATGTAGTACTCTGGTGGATAGGTGCTGATAAAAGCTCTTTTTCTTGTCTGAACTCTTGTTTGATGACCTGATTTAAAAGTGGGCAAACAGACTTTGCTTACCGTCTTCAGCTTCATCACTTCCAAAGTGCCTCCTGTAGCAGAGCATGATCTCCATGTTGTAACACTTGTACAGTGCAGTCAGGACTCCCAGAAGCAACAAGATGACCCCCAGACCACCGGCCAGCTCGAGACGATACATGTCTACATCAGAGATAAAGCAAAGGATGGATCCAGGGAGAAGTGATTAGATTCATGCAGTAAATGCTCAAAAAGTCAATCGTGGCTGAATAAAAAATAAAACGTTGTAACATACATTCAACAGTGTTTGAGACTTGGGTCACTGTATGACTGACTCTGTATTTTAGTGTTTTAACACTGAGTCAAATCTAGACTGATTATGTAGGACCTTCATGTGTTGGTGGCAGTCTGCAGGGACTATGGGTTAGGAACCAGATGGTCCCAGTTCAAGTCCCGGTGCAATTCAAAATATGGAAGTTAGTCTGGTAGCTGCAGCACCTCCTGAGAACTGCTGAGTCTGTTTGTTTCGTTTTGAGCACTTTAAAGCAACCAATGTGACCTGAACTAAATGATTGATTGATTTTGTTATTGTGTCACATATAAACAATATGCTCAGTCCAAAACAGGGTTCCATCATGATTAATACAAGGAAACCAGAGACCTAAAGTCGACACTTAATAACAATAATACTAGAGGATCAAACCACCCTGACGTTTCCTCCAGATTTTAGAGACAAACGTGGCCAATAAAAATTTAAATCAAACAATCAATCCTGTCGTCATCAGAGCTCCAAAACATTTCAGGATTCTGAGCGTACATTTCATTTATCAAAGTTGTTCTTAACTCATCATAAGGAGAACAATACAGAAGAAAATAAGATTGAAAACGTTAATTTTTGACATCCAGAAAGTGGTTTCACTTTTTTTCTGACTTCTTTGACGTGATCTGTCACCGCGGTATTAGAGATGAGAATGAGAGCAAAGAGCGCTCTGCACGAACAAAATGGTGAAGCTAAAAAGGAATGATGAAGTTGGTACCAGGAGATTTAACTATGAGTCAGAGGACAAGTTTGTCAAGCCCTTGAAGAAAACGTTCTTTTGGTTGTTGTTGTTTAGAGTCCCGTCCCTCTTGCTTCATGTCGAACGTGATGATTAGTCCGAGTACCCCCGTGTAGTCTGTCATGTCTGTCAGTCAAGTCACAGTAGGCTACACATTCAGGGCTGATCGTCTAATCTGACACCGTAACCATGGTAACAGACAAAAGATTGTGTAGTCTGACCTCGGCATTACGGAAGCAGTAAAAAATTGTAATACTGGTGTGGTGGGTTGAAGATCAAATGGCCTTGGATTTACTCGTCTATGTTCACTTGAAGAGGAACAAACTTCCACAGGACTCCGAAGTAAAACTGATTAAAGAAATTCATTTAATCCACAGTTTTGTTAAACAATCTTACTGGATGATTCAAAGTCAAGTTCTCCTAATCAATGAACTATACTACAGTAAAGAAACCATGTGGCTCGGTCCTTAATTGATCCTCAACTGCCTGAAACCGGTCTAACCCTCCCCCAGCACTAAAGAGCTCTCTCTCTCTTAAAGTAACCTACCTCACTGCTCTAACAGCAAAACCATACTGCTTTTTAACTACAGAAAATCCACATGAATTAAATCAAATTACCTTTAGCTGACTTTTAATCCATTTTACAACTTATCTTATACAATGAAATCCCTAAAATAAAGATTAACTCAAAACTACACTGCTTATTTATTTACGTTAACGTATATGAATGTAACTTGGCTCCTACAACTGGGAAACATATAGGCTACTCATACATTATGGAGACTATTTCCTGTTTTGGACGTGTTTTCAAACCAGTTTTGAACACAAAAAAGAAAAGTATTTTTGTAAGGGAATTGAATGACTAGTTTGTCACATAGGAGGCTCATTTATGAGACGTCTTATTTGATAGGACAGTGGATAGAGTAGGAAACCAGGGACAGAGGGTTGGGGTTGAGTGTGTGTGTGTGTGTGTGTGTGTGTGTGTGTGTGTGTGTGTGTGTGTGTGTGTGTGTGTGTGTGTGTGTGTGTGTGTGTGTGTGTGTGTGTGTGTGTGTGTGTGTGTGTGTGTGAGAGAGAGAATGATAGTGCTATCATAGGCAATATGAGTGTTTGGGAGATTTATGGAACATGGCTGGTGAATGACACCATGGGAAATATGATCTATTACTATCTTTCTCTCTCTCTTTTTTCAAACACACACACACCCACGCATGCACTGGCACACACACACACGCACACACGCACACACACTTCTCTTTCCTATTCCTTTTCCAACCTCATTTTTACAAGGTTTATCAATTTTCCAAGTCATGACAGGGAGGAGTAACAGTGAACACTCCTTTTTTAATTCTAGATGATGTATATATATATTGTTTGTTTTAATCACAGGTGTTTTGTACGGAGGCATATTGCATTTAAAAGAGGAAAACAAATCCTCCTGGTTTCTTGTTACTAAGAGTTAACAAGAAAAGATAACATTACGGTATAAAGAATAAAAAGATACTCAAGGGTTAATGAATTTTGCATCGCAGCGGGCAGAGGTGGGAGGAAAATCCCAAAGATAAGGATGACATTCGTTATTGATTCGATTCTGTTTTATTTCCATCTTGGTTTGAGGCAACGGGAAATATTAGTGTCTTTGAGTAATATAGATGATTTTCTCATGAGCTTGTCGACTTTGCGCAGGCATCTGAAGTCTTTCAGGTCGTTCAGATGGAAAGCACACGCTGACCTCTTTGACACAGAGTTATTCCTTCAGGGTCTGTTAAAGAGATACGGTATGCTTCCCAGATATAAAGTCATGCATCTGAAATGCATTTATGCTGGCTATGTGGTGTTACATGATATTTTCTCGTTGTGAGATCTGTAACACACAATAACAAGAAACCAGGCAGAATTCCCCCCATATGAATTCAATATGCTTCTGAATTTTTAAGAATGAGGCATACAGTATATACAGAAGCCTCTGAGCATCTGAGCCTCTGCATCACATTATTCCTAACTTTGCTATGTTGTCGTTTTCGCCATTGTCTAACTTTGAATTATTGGAGCCCTGAAAGATTTTTACTGTTTCAATTCTGGTTCACTGAAGAGCCCTATGTTGCATCAGAAAAATCCACCAATCACTTAATCAATAAATCAATCAATCATTTGACAATTGACTATTTAATATTTAGTTCTAATTCATTCTCCAAAGTGTTTGTCTAAGACTCTTTTTTTTTCTGCCTTTGTTCAGTTGTAAAGTGTTTCTGGGTAGAACCGGGCCATCGGGCACTCGGGTAAAAAGGGGGGCACAAAGAGCATCACAGCTCCCGTGAGACTGATTATTTTTTAATAAACATTTGTCTCAGTCAAATAATGTGCCATGATGACAGCCTGAATGTTGTGACATGATGAGTGAAAAGGTGAGCTGACATGTCAGCTCTTTGTTGCGAGCAAACCCGATTATATTCTGCATGTCATTGAGCACTTCTGTAATATACTGCTTCCTTCTTATATTTCAAAAAATATCCAACAGGTTTATATTTTATTCTTTACATCTAATCAGGCTTTGTTTGCGTTCAGTTTTCTTCTTCTTGATATCGTGAGTTTCTTCCTTCATTCTTTAAGTTTGATATGTTTTCTCTGATCTTTTAAAGCCTTCTTTTTGGTATTTGTGGATCACATCAGCATCATTCTTTATATAACCCCTGCATTGAATCTTTTAGTTTTTATTTGTCCAAATGGGGGGGAGACTTCAGAGAACAGTAACACTGTAAGGCACGTAATACAAATATTATGATATAAATCAATCCAATCTGAGGTTATTTTGATGTATTTTGTGTCAAATTTTATATTTTTGGCTTAATGTTAGATTTCTTCAAATCTTTTTCTAGCATTTATTTGAATATTTTTCACATTGTTATATCTTATTTTTCCTCAAAGCCATGTATTTGAATGTTCATTATGTTATAATTTCTTCATTTTTAACTCTGTAAAGCACACTGAACTGATTTTTTTATGAAAAATGCTCTATAAATAAACTTGCATTGCCCATCTTTTAAACTTAGAACACCTTCAATATGAATTTGTCCCTTACCATGTAGTAAATAAAAAGACATTATGTTTTATCACTTTGTCAAAATGTTACACTTCTGATGACTAATTTTCTCATACTTGCTGTTAAGCAGCTGGAAATAGGTCTTCAAAAACACCTGAGATCTTCTTTTTTTCTGGTTGTATCCAGTAAGAAAAAAAAAGGGTTGGGGTTAGACAAAAGGTCTGATTGAAGGTGATGCTGTTGCTTTCATCATTCTTCCAACGCATCTCTCTTTCAATGTCATTGAACCTTATAGTGTGTTTGATGTTTCTATGTTTCACCAGTAGATGTCTCTCCAGCTCCACTCTTACTTTCTACACTCACGTATACGCAGAGGCACTTTATAGTAGAGAGAGTTGGAGAAAAATAGTGAAATTTAACTAATTGCCAAATATTTGCTCTCCAGTGAAATGAACTCAGATTGCTTCCATTAGTAATGAGACCCATTTAGAAACTGACGCCTCTATCTCCTCCTGCCTCCATCCATCCCTCTCTCTTCCCATAAGTTTAACATGGTCCTTCCTCTGTTTTCCTCTAATCACTCTATATCAATTCATTCTCAAACTGTGGTACGTTGGATCCCTCTTGTGGTACCCTGGAAGTCTCAGATTTGTCGTTTTAAATTAAGACGTACAAATCAAATGGTTGGCCAGCAAATCTGTGATGGTCAAGCAATGGAAGCAGGTTACATTTTTTTGTATTTGTGGCTCCGAACGGGAATTATTAGAGTGTAAAGTGTGTCAGATTCGTCGAGCAGCACAGCAGAAACTGAAGTCAACGACATATGACTAGGACATCCAGTTTGGATTCTTTTGGAGAGACACAAAGACTGAGCACATGTGTGGTGTGTGGTCAATAATAAATAAAATGCATATCAGGAATAAAATGGCCTCCTGTGTAAACTGTATATGTAGTGAAATAGCCTTACGCTACTGTAGTTCAATGATGGCCATAATGGTGGCCAAACATTTTCTGTGGTGGTTCTCATCGGTAATGTTTGAGAACAACTGTTCTATATCATCCCCCCAACTGCCTTTCTTCACT